TTTCAATCCATTTGTGATGTTTTTAATTTAAAACCGAAACAATAAAAACAATTTAACAATTTTGATAATTCATATTTATAGCACTTAACATTTTAAATATAAATAATGAATATTTTATAACTTGAATTAAAAAGAATTATTACAATTATTTAAATATATGAAAATATTGATTTGATGCATTTCAGTTACGAAACTATTAAAACTTAAAAAAAAATTATATATTTCATATTAAATGAATGAATAAAATTCTATAAATGAATTGAATAATAAAATTCAATATATGAAAAATTGATTATATGGTAAGTATCAATATTAAAATGATAATGGGTAGTACTGAGTTAAACTCCAACTCGATTCAGGAAAAAATAGTGTGAGAGAATTCCCATTGCCATTTCACATCGCAGTGTCGGAAATCGACTACTTTCAATTTAAATCATATTTATATAAAAGTATTTTTTTGTTTTATTTTGTTCTCCAGGTGATATCTTGAATTATTTTAGAATTATTGTAGAATTTTTTATAGTTTTTTATGTGTGTGTGTCTCTTCATGTAATTTGGAAATACTCGCTTTCTTACAAAATTCCTCTCAAATGTTAAAAAATTTTAATTAAAAATACAGCCTTAAATTCAGCTCGTCCTTTAAAAAATTTCATTTACATATCCTTGCATTTGCGGCATCTATTCTAATTACTTAGGAACATTTAGAAATTTGCAAGAATCTAGTTTCTTACAACTGAATTCAACGTCTTTGCAATTATTTTCGGTGAAAAGAGCAGAATTTAATGGAGCATTGTTCGTACACTAAGCTCTCGAAATGGTATCTATCCTGAGCATTTAATAGCGTTTCACAATCACATTTTTAATTAAGTTTGCTTAAGAAAATCTTATTTTAAAAATGATCCTCCACGTCTGGCACTTTTGCGTTTACGTTTTAAAACGCTCGCCCCGAAATATAATTATTTCTAGTCTAGTCGCAACGTTCGGAGTAAAGTGCTGAGACGTGAGTCTGATTTAATATAGGAATAAATTGAAAACAATTTATTGTTGTGATATAATATAGATTTAATATAATTCTATTACACGGTTAAATATTTGACGAGGAGAGAGAGTTTGTATGAGTAGAGAGAAGGTTCGTATATAACTCACTTGTAATATTTAGAACCTATGTAATTTTCCCAATCATTGAATTTTTTTTTACCAAACATTATATAATCTGATAATTAAGATAAAATATATTGCAATATGTATATAACATTTTGAGAGTATAATACCCTTTGTACGTTACATATATACTGTAATTCAGCTTATTCAATGAAACACATTTTTAAACACGATTTCAAATCTAAATAAAAATCTAAATTTTTAAATCTATGAAAGATTAGAATATGCAATAGGTTAGGGTGGGGCACAAAGGTACAAGTTGACTTTGAGCAATTATATTGTGAAAAGCAAACCAGTTACATCACAATAAATACCACATATCAAACAAAGAACTGTCTGTTGTTGAAAATTGTTTAAAAAAATCTATTTTTCTAAAATTTGTCACCTGGCCCTTTTTACCCCATAGGCGGATCCAATATCTTATCCTTAATTTGAATGGGATTTTACAAAAAAATAGCTACAATATTTAACCAATGCATAATATAAATTTAATGGGCACATTTTTTTGCAAATGTAACACTGTACATAACCTTGATCTGGTATTTCGTCAGAAATATTCATCGGCAGAGTTGGAATAATTATTATTTTGATTATTTCTTTAAAATGGCTTTTTATTGAATTAACATTTTTATTTACTAGTTTTTATCATTAACGCCTTTGCTATGGTCAAGGTTAAGTTGGTCTTTTTTACCCCACCCACAAGTAAGATTTTATAAAGATTTTATAGAAAGTAACAACACTTAAAAAGCAGACTTAAAATTTATACCAAGGTCTCTTTATACAATAGTGCTCATAACCAAAAAACTAACAGCGAAAGAAACTACTTTTATTATAGATTTTCAAACATTGATTTATCTCCTGATATGATACCAACGTCGTAACAAGGTGAAAACTGCTTATACATTTTTCCCTTTACTTTCAAATATTGTTGTTAAAAAATTCTTAACTTTACTGTTTTTTGTAGATACCTTTGATGAACCTTTTTACTTGCGGTCCTTTAAGCCCCGCTCTACCCTATTATATATTTTATCATAAAATAATAAAAAGATAGCATTGAAGATGTAAAAATCAAGATGAAGGCTGGTTCCCATCAATGTTCATAATAGCAAACACCTACCTCTGCGAGACTTTCAACATTGCCGTTGATTGAATTTATCTAGGTGCAAACCCATAAAATTGCCATCAACACCCGGAAGAATCCCGAAATAGTGACAATAAAATTTGTTTTCCAAAACATACGGTTGAAATGTATGTTATTCGCTAAATTTAAAAGATACAGTATGCAAATCTATTAACACGGGTCAATGGAATAAATTCGAAATAAAATTCGATACGGCGAAGACCAAATCAGCAGATTCACTATATGAGCAGTAAAACTTAGAAAGCTCTCTGAAGCAATAAATGTTTTAGAGGCAGTAATTTTAAATTCAATGGCTAAAGCAGTTTAAGCATTTCTAAGGTGAAGTACACATGAATCGGAAAAATTTCAGTATTTCTTTCAAATACAAGTAAGCAAAATACTATCAAAGTCTATATTTAAAAAAAGAGAATAATAAATTTTATTTTCAAATTTTATGTCAAAGAAATTGTAATGCGTTATTTTTAAATATAAAATAAATTAGGTGTAGGTGTACGATGCATTTTGCCATAAGGCAAGTTGCAAAAAATGCATAAAGTAATTCTATGTGAAAAAGTAGTGTGCAAAGAGTTACATGTGTTAAAAGTATGAGAATATTGCCTAAAGCGACTCTGCTACCAGAATATAAAAATATGAACACTCTAGGCGTACGTATTGCCCGCGTTTTTTTTTTCAAAACTTTATTTTTTTAATTATCCACTTCTCCTAGACCTAAGATATTTTTAACTATTCGGTTTCTCAATTCAGATTTAAGAATTTTTAATAGATAATATTAAGTATTATAGTAAAAATTGGGCACTTGCATATCAGAATTGTAAATAACAAATGTAATGTGTTAAACCAATTAATTTAATTTATACAATTACAGAGAGAGAATACATCAATTTGTAGTTTTAAATTTTATTTTCAAAATATACAGTTGAACATTTTACCTAAATAGCTGAATATCGTCTCTCATTTAATAGGATGATTACGTATAAAGAAGTTCATGCCTTAAGGCAATATGCCACTTACAACTAGTTAACTTTCCTCTTCCGATCATAGAGACCTAGCCGTTGTTGGCACTAGTATAGTGATAGCGAAAAGTGTGTTTAGCACATTTAGTGCTTTCCGTGTACATGTTGCGCACTGAAATACTAATGCTGGAAGCATTAAGATAAATTTTATTTTTCTCTTGAGAAGAAAATAAAATAGCTTTTCTCTGCCAGGTGAATATTAAAATTTCACACATAGCTGAAGAGCAAGAAACTGCTGACGAATCGTGGATAAGTGACCAGGAAACTAAAACATTTCTTTTAGTGTCAATACCAGAGTCAGGAGACTCCGAGATTTCCAAATAGTAAATACAAGTTTTTATTTAATCTCTTTTTATTTAGTCTCTGCGTGACCCAGAATCTCCGCGGCCGGGAGTCTCCGTGGCCGAGAGTCTCCGGCGGAGGCCCCGGTGCTCCTGTCCAGTCCAGCTCCAAAGAGAGCGACCTGGTGCCCCAAAATCTTCGTACGGAAACCAAAAAAATTTACACAAAGTGTGTACACATTATTAAAATCTCTATAAAATATCTGATAATTTGATATGCATATGTCTAGTGAACATTTTTACCGCCAAATTAAATTAAAAAAAAAATATATTGAGAGTCCATAACCGTTAGACCTGGCTTTCCAGAAATTTTAACAGTTCTTCGATTAATGAATACAAACAAAATATTTTTTGAAATATTCAAATCAGACGTTCCGTTCTCTCGAAAACTGAATTACAATTTTTGGCCCTTTTTGGCCCGTATCTTCGAAACGACTTGACCTGCTTATGCCAAAAACTAATCAGCACGTCTCCTTATCAGTACGAATCGAATGTTTTTTTAATTATTTAAATCGGTTGATCGGTGTTCCCAAAATCGTCTTCAAAAATTTTTATCCGCACTCACACACGCCAAAATATTCAGAAACCTTTGAAACGTAAAGATATATAAAAAATTTCATTTTAGATTTTTTTGCGATTACTACAACTTACCCTATGGGAAGTTCATAAATTATCGTTCCAACTATGCTGATGATTATTTCTGTCCAAATACCAGATCAAGGTTATATACAAACTTAAACACTGTTATCTCTGGAAAAAATGTAGCCATAAAATTTACATTTTGTATTGGTTGAATAATATGGCTATAATTTCGTTTAAAATTGAAAATAAAACATTGGTCCTGTTTGTCCTCAGGCTGTTCCCTTATGGGGTAAAAAAGACCAGGTGACAAATTTTTGAAGAACAGCAAAGAAAACACGTTTCAACAATGGTGAATAGGAGCTTTAAGAGCAATAATAGCTAGGAATTTAGTCAGTAATCAAAGCATAGTCAATTAGTTGTTTGTTTCACATGAGTTATTTGATGTAATATAATTGGGTTGGTTTTCACAATATAATTGCTCAAAGTCAAATTCGACCTTTGTGATCTATTAATGAATTATGTGTCTTTCAAGTTTTAAGTCAGTCTATAATGTTCGCATTTGTGAGAAAATATTATTTCAGGTTGAAAAACTTAGAAAATGTCATAAATATTGTTATTGGTATCTTGACAACGAAAAAACGAAATATATTGGAATAATTTAAGACTAACTGAACAATTGCTCATTAATGCAAATATTGACCAAAGTCATCGTCAACTACTGTCTGAATCCATCGTCCCCATTCCATTTTACATACGTCATACCTGAATGATACCGGCTTTCATTCCTGGTAAGTCTCCTATTTCCCCTCTGTCTCAAAGGCACCTGACTGGCATCCTGGGGCAGAACGCGTGTGCCCAGTAACGGTGCCCCACCTCGTGTCGTCGGTTGCTGTTGTGCCCCTCCGCCGACTGACGCCACTGTGCACGTGGACCATGCAAGAGAGATTGAAGGAAATGTGCACTAAGGTGATCGATCGAACGATACTATCTAACTACTCTCCAATCGAGGTTTAGTAATGAAGGAAGAATACGATGCCAGGAGCAACCAGAATTAATCAGCTGAACCAGAAGACCAGAACAAGGAAGGAAGAATAATACATACGCCTGATGCCTAGATTGACCAGCTGTTCAGTAACGATTAGTAGACAGAAAACTATTGCTTGAATATTTCTATTTCGGACAGCAATATTTATCTGTGACTTTTCCATCGTTACTGGACAACTGTTTTGGTGCGAAATTTGATAGGCTACAGAAATTATTAGGTAGTTTTAAGAAATTTATCCTCAGGAGCTAACTCTCGGATAAAATAAAAATAATATGTTACGCGTCTCTTATGTTAAATAATTGAATGAGTTAGTAGTCACCAACTGTTAAAAAAGTCTTTGCTATTTGATCAAGCGTTCTAGACTATGGGACCAACTCTGAGATAAAATAGAAATGTTTCAGTTGCAGTATGTTGCGGTTGTCTATCTTCGTATGAATTTGTAGTAACGAACTATCAAAGTATTTGATGTGCAAGCAGGGGTTTTGCATATAAAACCTAACTTTGCGTGAGTGCTATCAATAGAACATCAGAAAGTTGTACTTATGATAACATTGTTATTTGACCTGAGGTTAAGTTTTATGTGTGAAACGCCTGATCGCATAGCAAACACATAGCGCGTTGACAGTTTGCTATTACCAATTCATACGAAGATAGAACCGTAACACATTGTTGTCATAAAATTTGTATTTTAGCAGAGAATTGTCCCCTATAACTACTGCTAACATCGGAACATTGAAAGAGTTAATTTTGATAACTTTGATTGTTTGTTTGACATTTGTGCCATTTGGAGGTTAAATTTTATGTCTGAATCAACCGATAAAACAGCAAAGACATTGTTTTTTCAACGAAACTCAACAAAAGTGACCCGTAACAGAACATTTCTATTCTATACGAGAATTCGCCTCTTATAATAGAAATATTTAAAATGAAGCAAGTGGAATAAAGAGTAAGTATTTAAAAAATAGTGTAATATAATATGACAATAGTGCAATAATATTATTATGATAACTACTATTAAATTAAGCAAAGATAGGATGTATATAAATAAAAGCATATAAGTGAGTGTTAGTATTATCAAAATAGTGTATAAATTAAATATATATATATATATATATATATATATATATATATATATATATATATTGTATCTATATAAAAACTGTATATACTTATATATATATATATATATATATATATATATAAATACAAGAACGAGATTTTATAATATTCATCCAAGATGATACCTGATTATTAACAGATAAAATGAATATAGTTTAAGTATATTTCAGCAGTGCTTTAAATAAAAAACCTACCGACCAATTTTATATGTTCCAATTTTTAAATTAATCAATTCTATTAAATTAATCTATGGGCTAAAATATTTGTTTTTGGAATAAATAAAGTGGAGATGTTTAAGGTCACATCATTTTACAAAAATAAATTACCTTTTTTAATATTATATTACAGATTTTTAAAACTTTTCTTTAGTTTGTAGTATAATGTATTTGTATGGATGGGTATTGTTTTGACTTCCATTTGGCTTTTAATTTTTTTTTGTTCTCCAAGAAAAATTTGCTTATTCGAATTGTATTTAGATTTTTTAAAGCAAGTTTTCGATGCATAAAATAATAGAATATAATTTTTGCGAAAATCAGATTTCTGTGCAAATCAGGTTGTTGTGAAAATTGTTCAAATAGATAAAAAATTTCACTATTTTACTTTGAAAACTAAAACAAAAAATAGCTGCATTCCAAAATTGCTAAAAGCTAGAATTCCGATTACAACAGTATGGTCTATAAGTCAGTTTAATAGCACTATTAATCTGCGTTGATATGGAGGTTTTCTGAACACGAAAAAGCATCAAGAAATATGAATGTAACTTGGCACTTGGGAAGTAAAGAAATTGCTTTTGCTATAAATGTCGCTACTCAACTTTTACCACAAGATGCATTTCTGTGCAATAGTTTTAAACCAAGTGCATATGTTACGCAAAAAATAAAGTGCAAAATCGAATGCAAAGTTGCAAATGCAGATCAAGGAATTAGCAGCAAATAACTAATACGTTAAACTCATACTTTTATTTCGTATCGTTTGGTTAATATCATGTCAACCTGAGTAGATTGAGTTTTTCAAGTGTCAACTGCAACTGCAGGTTTCATTTTAATCTATTTTCAACATTTTGTTTGAGAGACATTTATTAATGATCGATGTATTTGAAAACTTCAACTGAATATTAAATCCCATTACTTGTTTTATTATTAAGTCGAAAGCGATATATGATTATATGTTTATAATGATATAAGACTGAAAAGCAATTACAAACAAGTTTGCATTTTGCAAATATCTAGGCACTTAAATTTGATTAATGATAGGAAATAATACATGATTTGAATCTAAATTTATTTGATATAATTTCGCGATTCAATAAATCCATATCATTGAGTAATTCAGAAATTACTAACAAAATAGTTTGATGATCTGTTAAGATATAATACAGGCGACCATGTTATATGAAAATAAAAAATACGATTTAGTTTAAATCATGTTATATATGTTTCAAATCTAAATTTATTTCATACAATCTTTAATTCAATAAATCATTGATTTAAATGATGACACCAATGGTTATTAAGAATTATTAAAAAATCATCAATAAAATAGATTATGAAGGACTCTTAAGCAACACAGAATAACATTTATTGATAAATGCAATGAAAAAAAATCAATTTTTAGTATAAATAATATTATTTATTTGGAACATTTCCATAGTTTAAAAAAATTAATGAATGGATTTAAACTAATGAATATTAAGAATTATTTTTTAAATATTAACAAGATAGAGTTTATGGATATTCTAAAATGCAACAGAAAAGTATCCTTTTTTTTACAATTTCATAAATCCGTGAATCATTGATTTAAATGACGATATTACTATAAAGAAACATTAACTAGGCAATATTAACAACATTAACAAGCAAAGAAAACAAAATTCTAGTGTTAAAATTCTGCGCGAAGAGAAACCCATGAAGTAGTTCTACAAAACTCGCCCCACATTCACAAGTGTCTTCGCCTCGCCAACGTTCGTTCGTTGTAGTCAAGTCTAAGATAAATCAGAAAAATAGTAAACCAAAATCTTAGAGTAAAAATGAAAGACAAAACAACAACCTAAAAAAAAAACTCGGGTAAATGCTGTTTGAGCAGCGATTCGAGGAAGCACAAGCCGAACGCTTGTGTGCCGGTCCCATGGCAGCGATTTATCGACGTTCTTTTACGTAGAATTACGTGCTTCAAGTAACACCAGATTTAGGGCTGTGACAGTTAAAATTTGGGAAAATATACTTATTAAGTAATTGAAAACTTCGGCATCTATCGAAATAGATAATTTTTTGGTAGGGGATAAATACAATTTTAACCGCATTCATCGGGTACATTTATGGTGTCATTTGATTATTGGCAAGAAAATTAGAAGTAAGTGCTCAGAGTAACGTCAGTTTACGGTTCTAACAGTTAAAATTTGAGGGTATGTTCATGTTATCCTATTAAACACTTCGACACTAAACAAGCATAATAGAGGATAAATACAAGTTAAACCACATTAATCGGACCGAGATATACCAGATTTAGGGCTATTCTCCCAAACATTTGTATACATATTGTAGTTTTTAACTACTTCGGCACATGACAAAAATGATAGGTTGTTGATAGATGATATATACAATTTCAAACGGATTAATTCGACAAATTTATGATGTCAGATAATTTCATTCAATTCAGACAATCCAAAAAAATTGGATATCAGCGAAACATATGGTTTCCTAATAAGTATGTTGCCATATAGTAGGTAGGACCTTCAGCATTATTGTTACAGATAAATTCTTCAACAAACATTAATAAAACTAAGTTATTTAACACGGCTGTTTCTTTTGAAAATATTCTCAAAAACAAACCAATCGTTACTCTATTTAACTAAAAATAGTAATAGAATATTTACATTTTAATTAGCTCATTGCATAGTTTGAAGAACATAGTTCTAAAGAATTTTAAAACAGAAGTGCAAATTTACAACTGTGAAAGGATTTCGAAGATTAGCAGTAATATGAATTGAACAACGTCATGAAACGTGAAACATAATTGAAAAATAATGCAGATGATGGCAAAATCATTATTATGTGTAGAAGTATGTAATTCTTACTCGATAGTGAATGGCCTTAAATAGTTGAAATATTCATTAATACAATAAAAAAAATTATTCAAAAGTACCAAAATCCTTAAGTATGTGATTTGGAAATATCTAGAAGTAAGTCTGCTTTCAGTTAAATTTGTTAACAAAAAGTAATCAATTCAGTGAAGTATAAATGCACAATTACAAACTTCACTTTTTTATAATCTGGATAATTTCATTCACATGTATTATAGGACTTTGAATTAATAAATAAACGTCTTGAAATTATCCTTAAATCATTTTATCTTTTCATATGTGCTATTAAACCACGAATATTTTATATTATTTTTATTTCAATTATCTTTTATCTTCAACCGAAAGCCGTTTCGCAAAGTTTTTTTTGTTGCCCATTTGAACATGTCATGGCGAAGAGAAGACGGAGTTACACATCTATCATTCGAGAAAAACGAGTAGTACGGTATATATAAATATAAAACTTACATAAGAATGGAAGCTTGGATCCGAAGTTGCAATTCCAGTACACACTACATACTATAATGTACACAGAATTTCAAAAGCAGATAGAGTATCAATGATTATTCTGCTCTTGCAACAGTAACTTTGAAGTTGCACACGCCGAATGTATCTATTCAGCATAAAATAATATACTTTGCTGGAGAGTAGACACTTTTCAACTGTGAAACTGCCGAA